GAGATACGAGCCCCAAACCCCTCCTTGGGAAGACCCTTTCAGGGCTCTGAGATGACGTACCCCAGATTTTCTTCTTATCAAGTAGCGGCGCGGACTGCCTTTCTGTGGGTGCAGAGTGGGGGTGGGGTGGGGTGGTTTTTTGAGGGTTTGTCATGGGACGGGTGTGGGCGTGGGGCAGTTATTGTGGGAGTATGGTGCCGAAAAAGGATGGCCTTTGGGGGTTGATGGGATTGGTAATAATCTTGGACCACCAGTTGTCATGAAAAGGCCCTTGAGCAAGGACACAGAGTTAGGGGATGACCCTCTTGTCATAGTGGTGGCCTCTGTGAGACTGGGCCACTTCCTCTGCCCTAGTAGGGGTTCCTAGAGGTATTGCTGACTGATTTCGGCCTAGGGATTCTGAGGGATGTGAGGCCTTAGGCTGAGGTTAGTGTGTCATCTCCAGAAAAAAGGGGGTCTCAGGCCCTGCAAGAGTCATGGTTGGCGGGGGGTGGGGGGCTGTGAGGAATTCTTAGGGTTCCACAAACCCCTGGGCAGGGTGAAGGCTATGGTGCAGTGTGTAGCTACTTTTTTCAGCCCTGGTAGTCCTGTGCATGAGGTGTCTCCTCACTTCTACTTTGGGGTCTTAGAGAGATGGGGCCTCGATGGGAGGGTGGGGGCTAAAGCAATAGAGCACAACAGGGCACACATCACCCTGTATCAATTTAAAGAGCACATGTGAGGGCTGTGGGACCAACCAACCAATGGCACAGGGCTCGCTGCAGACAGCCGCTTCGAGGCTCTGCATATTCTCCATTGCTGACGGAAAAGCTCCACAGCTCACCAGTTGTCAGGGTAGGCTTAAAGAGGGACTAAGGGCAGCACCCACCATAGACGAGAGGAAGCCCCATGAGATACGAGCCCCAAACCCCTCCTTGGGAAGACCCTTTCAGGGCTCTGAGATGATGTACCCCAGATTTCCGTCTTGTCAGGTAGCTGAGGGGACCGCCTTTGTGTGTACACAGAGTGGGTGTGTGGTGGGGTGGGGTCGCGTTGTGAGGGTTTCTCGTGGGATGGCGGTGGGGGAGGGGTGGTCACGTTGGGGGTCGGGTGGTTTCACTGGTAGTGTGGCGCTGTTAAAGGGTGGCGGTCGGGGGTTCATGGAGGTGGTAATAGTCGTGGACCAGCAGGCGTCATGAAAAGCCCCCTTGAGTGAGGACATAGAGTTAAGGAAAAACCCTCCGGACATAGTGGTGGCCTCTGTGAGACTGGGCTCCTTCCTCAGCCTTGGTAGACTCCTAGTAGGTGTTCTTGCAATAAGTGTTGCTGACTGATTTTGGCCTCTGGAGTCTGAGGGATGTGAGGCCTTAGGTTGAGGTTGGCAGTACAAGGTCCACAAAATGGAGTCTGAGATCCTGCACAAGTTGTTGTTGCGGGGGCAGGGGGACGGGGCACGGAGAATTCTTAGGGTTCCACCACCCCAGTGTGGCTGTCTGTGGTGCAGTGTCTTACTGCTTTTTTCAGCCCCCAAAAGTATTGTGTATCGGGTGTCTCCTGACGTGAATTTTGGGTCTCAGAGACTAGGGGGCTTCGATTGGAAGGTGGGACCTAAAGCAATAGAGCACAGCAGGGCACACATCAACCTGTATCAGATTGAAGAGCACAAGTGAGGGCTGTGAGACCAACCAACTGAAGGCATAGGGCTCGCTGCAGAGACCTTTTCCCTGCTGTCAGCCCTGAACAGCCCAGGGTGCACTGGCAGCCAGAGGCCAGTCTTCCCTTGCTATTCTGCGTCCCAAAAGGTAAACTATTTGCTCTGAATAGATTATTCAACAGAAGGAGCCCTGTGTCCTGACAGGTATTATTGAGTTATGTCTGAAGGGCACACTCTCCACCTAAAAGGGGTTTTCCCAGGGTCCCAAGGAGCCCTTGGGAGATCCCAAACCATGATAGTCTTATGAGACAACCCATCACTGTCCCATGGTGTTCACTGAGAAGTGAAGCATTACTGTGATGGGCAAACTCAGGACAAGAGGAGGAGTCCCAGGCCCCTCCAGGCTTCTAGGTGATGAGCCCAAGGCTGCACCATCTCATGACTTTCTTCTCAGTTGTCTCTATGAAAATACACCTATTTTTCTGGGGTGGCTTTATGTGCCAGAAGCTGGGGGCTGAGGTCTGAGCAGTAGCCAAAGAAAAGACCTTTGAGAGAGGGCTAAATAAACACCTGTCCCATAAGTCAGGAGCCCAAATAATTCTGCTGAGTCCTGCTGACATCCCCGGGAGGCCCTGAGGAGAGCTGAGTAGCAGAGATATCACCTTAACTGCCTGCTCCTTGTACTATGGGTGAAGACATTGTTCTATGGAAGTGATGTCTGATCTCAGTACCTATAATTAGTCATGGGAAGGACCCTAAAGGGGGGTCCTGGGGACACCCACTCTGGAACAGAATGTTCTCAACAGAGCCCTGTCCTGCTGTCACACTTGAGGGAACTGTCGATATGACACCCCATTAATTCATACTCAGTAGTCACAGGGATGAAACTGTATAGTGTGAGTGGTATCAGGTTAGCAGAGGGGAAGAGTCTCATATACTATCAAGTTTCAAGGTGTAGACCTTGTATGAGTAAAGAGCTGACCATCCACTTGAGTGAACATGGGCCCCCATGATATCTACCTTGCCTCTGTAGTCATCCTTGGGAGGTTTCAGACAACAGTGGCTAGCAGGGTTTTTGTTGGTTTTTTTGGAGTTTATAATTTTAACTAAGCAATACAGGTTTTCAATATCAAAATATTTTTGTATTTCCTGATTATAAAGAAAAATACATGCTTGTAAGAAGCACTTTAAACCATACACCTATGAATAACATAGATAGAAGGTAACATTCCCCAAAACCCTCCTCCTCCAAAGACCACCAGAGTAAATATTTTGGTGTATATCCTTCCAGAATTTTCTCTATGTATATCCATTGTTGTTAAAATAAAAGAATGCATATTGCAACTCTTTCATTGAAGTATGATTTACATATGACATTGCAGTTTTTGGTTGTAGTGAAAACTTTGAGACGACATAATTGTCCATCAGTAAGCAAATGGTAAATTAAATTATAGGACACATGTACAGTGGAGTACCTTGCACCTCCTAAGAGGTAGATCTATAGCCAGTGACAGATGCCCACAGTATATTGTTAAGTGAGAAACACAAGTTGCAGAACAGTACATAGCGTTCCCAAGCTTAATCATTTTCCTCACCATTTTCACTCCTCTTTGGTTACTTACATTTGGGTGAGTGTGCAGCTGCCAGATCAGCATGTAGGAGGCCCTGGATACTCATTCTCTGGGAAGTTTCTTTGCCATTTAATGGGCCACTTGCTGTGGACCAGCCCCAGCCCACTAGCATCCTCCAGTGAAATTCTTGGCTACTGTGAGGCTGGCTCTGGGGACCAGCTTCATCAGGACCACATCCTTCAGTAAGGTCTCCCTACAAACTAGCTCAGGCCCGAGCACTCTGGCACATTTTTCATCATCACCAGCACCTTGAATGGAAAGAGTCAGACATACAGATTCTGTCCTATCTGGCAGAAGCTGAAATGACTTTCCTTACTCCATCAGTGAGAAAATAAATTAGGGGCTCCATTTGAGTCTTCATTTTAACATTGCTTATTTCAAACATATTTGTGCTACATGACTCCCATTTTTGAACCAGTGAAAAGATTACCTGTTTTTCTCATAAGTTAAAAAATCTCTAGCTTATGTTTACTTTTATATCTGAATAACAGTCAAGATGTTTTAGTTTTCTGAAAGTATTTTTTAACAATATTAAGAAAGTATGCCTAGTTATTAGTTTCCTATTGCTGCTGTAACAAATTAACACAAACTTAGTGGCTTACAAAACAGAAGTCCAACATGAGTCTTGGGCTCAAATCAACATATCTGCACGGCAGCTTCTTTCTGGAGGCTCCAGGAGAGAAGCTGTTCCTTGTCACCTCCAGCTTCCAAAGGCTACTGGTATCCCCCGGCTGTGGCAGCACCATTATAATCTCTGTTTCCATCATTACATTGCTCTCACTTCCCACTCAATCCTCCAGTGTCCTTCCTTTTTACTTATTTATTTTATTTATTTCAATTACAGTTTACCTTCAGTATTATTTTGTATTAGTTTCAGGTATACTGCACAGTGCTTGCACAATCATATATTGTATTTTACAAAGTGTCCCCCCTGATATTTCCAGTACCCACCTGGCACCCTACATAGTTATCACAATACTACTGACTACATTCCTTATGCTATACTTTACATTTCCTTGACAATTTTATACCTATCAAGCTGTATTTCTCAATCCCTTCAATTTTTCCCCTTGTCCCCCAAGCTTCCTCCCCTCTGGCAACCATCATTGTATTCCCTGTATCAGTGAGTCTGTTTCTGTTTTGTTTGTTTGTTTGGATGACTATTGGTCTTAATACCTCACCTCATATACTGGGGTCTAGGAAGATGGCAGTTTTGAACTGAAGCAGCTAGGCTGAGATCAGCAGTGGATAGAGTGTATAGCCAGTGCAGGATTCCATAGGGAGACAGAGAAATGACTGAAAGGAGGTGTGACTTGATCCTGGGGAGACAGCTTAATTTAGCATGGGGAGATGACACAGGCCTTATGAATGCCTTGGTAATGAACCTGAGTGGGCACTGAAGGGACCACCCTCTTCAGAACACAAATGGTTCTACCAGGCACAGCCACACCTGCCTAACCTGCCTACTGTCATCCCTGAGAATTCTCAGCTTGGCTTGGCTGGCTGCACCTTGAGGAGAATTAAGCATTTCCCCTTCTTGTCCTAGGGGGACAGAGCAACCAGGAGGTCATGTGTAGTCCTGCTGTCTGGAGAGGTCCATCTCAGGTGACTTTTATTAGAACCACCACCATTGAGCTTAGCAGTTGAGGCCACTCACATCTTTCTTTTTTCCCTTAGGCAGTGATTCCCCATTGCCTTCCTGTTCACACTCCTGATTACTGCCACCTACAAACATCATGGCTTTTAATCAGAAGAATCCACAGTGCTCACCCAACCAACCCCTTCAGAGCTGCAGTGAGACCCAAGGCCTGGAGGCTGCACAGGCACCAGAGGCTGTGGAGAAGGCCTGTCTCTCCTCCCACCCTCCCATGCCTGGCAGTTTGAAGAAGGCTCCTGCTGCTGGTATCCCCAGTACTCCTGAGAGTACTCAGAGTTTCTGCTCCTCCTCAATGGTTGCCATGGCCATCCTATCAAGCCAATCTGGTGAGGGATCCAGTAGCCATGAGGAGGGGGATAGCACCTTAGAGGCAGATTCAGACCCCAGGAATGCACCCATAGATGCTCTAGATGAAAGGGCAGCTTGGTTGGTGGATTTTCTGCTCTTCAAGTATGAAAAGAAAGAACCAGCAACCAAGGCAGAAATGTTGAAGATTGTCAACAAACTGTACCAAGACCACTTCACTGATATCTTAGTGAAAGCCTCTGAGCGCATGGAGATAATCTTTGGCCTTGAAGTGAAGGAAGTGGATCCCATCCAGCACCACTACGCCATCGTCATCAAATTGGGCCTCACCTATGATGGGATGCTGCATGGTGTAATGGGTGTGCCCAAGACCGGCATCCTGATACTTCTCCTGGGGGCCATCTTCATGAATGGCAACCGTGCCACTGAAGAGGAAATCTGGAAAATTCTGAGTGTGATGAAGTTATATCCTGGGAAGAAGCACTACATCTTTGGAGATCCCAGGAATCTCATCACCAAACATTTTGTGGAGGAGAATTACCTAATATACCATCTGATGGCCAACAGTGATCCTGCACAACGTGAATACCTGTGGGGCCCGAGAGCGCATGCTGAAACCACCAAGATGGAAGTCCTAAAGTATTTGGCCAAGGTTCACGGGTCTGACCCAAGTTCTTTCACATCTCTGTATGAAGAGGCATTTGAGGAAGAACAAGAGAGATGTCGGGCCAAAACTGCCACCACAGCTATTGATAATCCTGGCCATTGCTAGTTTTAAGGCCAAGCCTGACAGCTCCTCCCATGTCTGTGGAAGTCAGCGATAGTTTCTGCATGCATTGTTTGAATAGGCAGTTCATGTTCATAGAATTTAGGTCAGCGATGGTTCTGAAAGGAACACAGTATATGCCTGTGTTTCTCTTTGATATGTGTAACTTGAAAATCTGTTCTTTTGTTTGGTAATATGTATTATTCAAATTATTGGTTATTTAGTATAGGTTTAATTAGGTTTAAAATCTCTGAGTTTATGAATGGTATTGCTCACATATTTAATGCTCTAAAGAGGTTTCATAGTAAGAGCTTTTATTACTAAAACAAATTGTGTGACCATACATCTCATGTTGTCACTTGGAATAGGAAAACATTGCATTGCTATAGGCATTTACTGGAAATGTGAATGAAATCAGTTTTAAGGTATTTGGGTTTAAGTAAAAGAATATCAATTTTTTTCTTTCATATACCTTTTATGTTTGTTTTATAAAATTAATTGATAAATGCTTGAATTTGCTTCTTTGTGTATGTATATGAAATAAATCTCAGTGAATTAGATCCTGTGCTCACTGTGTCTTGTATTCCCCATGCCTTAATAAATTTTTTGGTGTTGGGAAATCACCACAATACTGGACTTCTAGGATAAAGAAGGCCTAAGACCTGTCCTGATAATTTTTACTTGCTGAACCAGCAATTCTATAATAATAACATTGGGGTATCTTCTGTTGTTTACAGGGCAAGTGAACTAAGGAGAAAGCAGGTGAGTGGAGGTGTCTTATATGAAACTTTCAAGCATAAGTGCCCTAGAACAAGGAAAGTGGGGAATTGGGAAAGCTGGGATTCCTTTAATGAGAGTTAATTTTAAGTTAAATGTTAGATATAGGGAAAGAAGAGGCTTGGTTTGGGGATCAAAGATCAGACCTACAGATGGTCAGTTGCAGAGTTGAGACTTGAAAGGAAAGGAAAGGAAAATTTTCTTCACATTTAACTTTGGGGTCATGGTTAGAAATCTGACCATGGAAAGGAAATAGTTTCTGCATGCATTGGAAAGGAAAATTTTCTTCACATTTAACTTTGGGGTCATGGTTAGAAATCTCCACTGGGGCAGAAATAGAAGTTGTTCTGTGATCTTGTCTCTGTGCCATTACAATCTTTCATGCACCAGGGAGTTTTTGAGAGACAACTGTGATACTTTTCTGATATGAGATACCCAGAAACCACTTTTTTAGCATTTGTTGTCCTCTGAGAAAGCCAGAGACAACTCCATTTCAGGATATTTTAAATGTTATTTTCAGTGTAATTTGGCATAGTCTAAGAAATGCTTATCATTTTGATGAGTGTAAAATGGATAGGGGTGATTTGAATAGAACAGAAAAATAAGGTGAAATATTTGTTGTCATCAGAAATTCTAGGAATTTGAAGTTCCATCAGCTGGAAAAGAAATTTCCTCACCCATTATTAAAGAACACAACCTCCGTGTGTATATTACTGTGGTTTACTTGCTAAGCAGTATTTTGGTGGATCTGATATCCCATACCCTGTAGTACTTAGTGTTCTCTGAGACATATTGGATTTTTTTAAATCACCTAGGTGAAGGTGGTAGAGTCAGTGGTCAGAATCATTGCAGTAATAACTGCCGTTCATTAAAAGACCTAAGGTATGTCAGGAACTGTGCCAGCTGCTTTACATACATTGCACTCTTTCCAACAGTAAATTATGGCAGGAGTTATCAGACTCAGTTCTCAGATGAAGGGCCTAAGAGTCACAAGGTTGGGAATGTGCGCGAGTTCACAGGTCCAGTTATGTGGCAGAGCCTAGGTTAAACTTTTGGTGTGAATTCTAGAGCTCACTCTATTCCATTCCTCCAGCCTGAGGCCTACCTTCTGTCTCTTGATTCATTTCTCACTATGTCTTTATGCCTCTTGGGATTAAAAAGGGCTCTGGTTGGTGTGGCTCAGTGGATTGAGAGCTGGCCTGCAAACCAAAAGGTCACAACCTGTTGGATTCTCAGGGCACATGCCTGGGTTGTGGGTCAGGTCCCCAGTTGAAGGCCTGTGAGGAACTACCACACATTGATGTTTCTCTCCCTCTCTTCCTCCCTCTCTTCCCTTCTCTTTAAAAATAAATAAATGAAACCTTAAAAGAAAAAAAGACCTCACACTCAAAGTGCTAAAAGCACACATAAGCAAGGTGAAAATGATAATCAGATGTACTTCGGACAGTGTCTGTGAGCTTCATTTACCAAGAATCTTGCTACCCTTAACCCCAGAGAGTTGACTTTGCCCAGGGGCTAGCATTTTTGTCCAATTCCAGGTCTTTTGTTTGTGGAGGTCTAGAATGTTACTCAGAATATGCCATTTTGGCATATTGAGTATTATGAACTCAAAGTACTTGAGAAACAATACAGAAGGAACAAAGCTGATACTGTATATATTCTTAGTGCAAAAATTTGAGAAATATAAACAGGTCACATATTCCACCTGTGTAATATTCCTTCATAATTCAGCCACATTCTCAGAGATTGTCACAATTAACAATCTAGTATATTATCTTATAGATAAGTCTAGACTTTCCCATACATAGATGTATTATGACAAATACAGTATGATTTGAAAACATAATGGGTAGTGATATACAGATTCTGCCATCTATCTTTCCCATTTAACATGAATGCAGGATCTTTCTATGACAAAACATGTAGATATACTTTACTTCTCTAACTGCTCCCATTGCATATATGTGCTGTAACTAATTTAACCATCTCCTTAGGCTGGGCACAAAATTTGTTTCCCATTTGTTGCAATGACTTACAGAACTGAAATACTTTTAACATGATTTACTGGAATAAAGTATACTGTTGATTATGATAGCCAGGAAGAAATTGGGTTAAAGTGGAGAATGTGTGAAGATTGTAAATTTTTAAAAATATTGCCAAAAATTTATCCCAAACTTTCTTCCAATTCATATTTTAACAAATTAATGCAGGTGAATAACATAAACATTCACACATATATCATTTTAAAAATCCAAAGTGCTTAATTTGAGAAGCAAGGATTTGATCAAAATGACCAGTAGACAGGGAATGCGACTTACACTTAGTGAGGGATGAGGATTTGGGAAAAGAGCAGTGTCCAGGGTCCACGAGAGAAATTACATGTGAATTCAAGTACAAAGAACCAAGAACAGGCTGGTAGTCTGTTCTTGAAGTTCTGAATCCAGAGCTCAGTGTAGAATGGAAAAAGGACCAGAAGGAATGAAAGTGGGGAATCTGAATGGAGCATCCAGGACAACTCACAGGAACTGAGTTGAGAAGTCTCTGAGTGAATCACCAGTAACAGAAATTGTATGGTTATCTGAGTGAGGAGGTTTACTTGAAATGTGCACCATCCCACAGAATTCCCATACCTACTGATAGACCAAGTATAGCTGTTTCTCTTGCATCATCCATTAATGTTACTGGTTGATTCTGGGGAAGCTGTAAGTCTTGACCATTCTTATAGTCCTTTGCCAGTGTATCAGGGCTGGGTCTGTCTTGATTCCTGCTGGCAATGGGTATTTTTTCCTCCAAGTACACTGGGTCCTCTGCACTGAGCTCTGGATGTTAATATGAATGTCAATGAGTGATGACAGATTGTTGAGACAGGCCAGAAGTACCGATGAGCAGTGGAAGATGGCATGCAACTGCAAGAAGGAGAAAATTTGAAGGGGGATGCCCTAGTACTAATTTCTTCAGCTGATGTTTAGATAAAGGGCTGGATGTGGACATGTCTTCTAAAATAATCCAGGTGGTGCCCCCAACACAGACTGCCGCTCATGGTTTCTGAATTTATGGCACACCAGAGAGTGAGTATCTTCTGACTGTAACCACTGGTCTACTGGCTGAGGGACAGGGTTAGGCTAAGGTGCATATATTTACAGATTTGATTCAGAACCAGTAGAAATTGTACTCTTCTTTTTTTAATGGACTGGGGTGAGGGGGAAGTGAAAGTCCAATGCAGGGAACATCATAAACTATCTTATTGTGAGCATTCCCACCTTCAAGACAGTGTTTCAGCCTGGGAACATCACAGGCTGCTCAAACACCTATTAATATCACTTATAGTGTGGGCAAATTTTTTCTTTTAATTAATTAATTAGTTTATTTCTAGTGCTCATTAAGATATCAGATCATTTTAATTCTCATACTTATCTGAAACATGATTTAAGTTGCTAATTGCCATGTTTAGGAAGGAAATTTTGAAAATCATAGTAGATTCAATGTGAACTATTATTATTTGATAACCCTGGAACTCGCATAACCAGCCCTGAGAATTTAAGAAAAGAACTAAGTTTAATTATGTCCAATGACACAAAGACATTGAACACATCTGTTCCACTAAACTAGTATTTCATGCAGTAGTAGTGAGAAGTAGATAAGGAGAAGGAAAGCTTTTCAAGAGAAGGAGAAAAAAATGGAGTCTCTATTTTTCTTTTACAAGAATGATGTTTTTACCTGGCTGGTGTAGCTCAGTGGATTGAGTACAGGCTGAGAAACAAAGGGTCGCAAGTTCCATTCCTAGTCAGGGCACGTGCCTGGGTTGCAGGGGCAGGTCCCCAGTAGGGGGTACATGAAAAGCAACCACACAATGATGTTTCTCTCTCCTTCCCTTCCATTCTCTCTAAAAATAAATAAATAAAATTTTTTTAAAATAAAAGAAAAATAATGATGTTTTTCTTTTAACTTCTGGGCTTGTGCGTAAATTTTGCTTTAAAAATAAAAAATACAACAGTTCAACTTTTAGAAAAAATGATATCAGAAAACCACTGAATAACACAATCACTATGTTTTTCTAGGGCCAATATTTTATATTTCCATTAGTAGCACATACCTACAGACATGTATTTTCAATTATAATAGTTGCTCTTTAAGATTCTTTTCCTAAATGCTAAGAAGTTGAAAGGGTGGCTAGGAATGACATCCTATGACTTTGGCATTAGTGGGTGGTGATGCAAGCTGTGAAAGAA